ATTTTTATTTAATTTAAATCACATAATTTTAACAAATAAAAAATTTAATATAAACGTCATGATAACTTAATTCAGAGTATTAAATATTTATTTTGAACTGTTCAACATAAATGCTATTTTTAGAAGGATTTTATTTAAATACGTAAAACTATTCAGCTATTTTTATGAGTATTTGTTATTTTTTTATTAAATCGTCTACTTAATTAAATACATATATTTTTCACATGGATACTAATTTTGGATGCTTCTGGAATAATGTTTATTGATTCAACCCAGCCATTATGAGCCCACGGTAGAAACCCGGCTGCCAAATCTACGGCGCCGTAGTTTGGGGCAAAAAAGTAATTCCAACCTCCAACCGGGTCAAAATCACAATACGGATCAAACCATGTCCCACCCACCCACCCGCCCGGTCTTATCCATAAACACATCATCCACATACATGGCATCATAAGACACACGCATGTACATACATGATACATTCTAGTGGCATGTACATACATGATCTGGATTTACGAACACCCCCCCAAATCGTCCCTATAAATCCCCACCTTTGCCTCCAATTCCTCTCTTCAAACCAATTCCCAAATTTTCAATTCAAACTCTTATTGAGAAATTGTCAGAATTACAATGGGTGAGGTCAGTGTTTTGAAATCGTTAGCTTCAGTTTCATCTCTCCATCTGATCCTCTTCCTTGAAACAGAATAATTTAATTCTTTTTGTTTTGTATTTTGTTAATTACAGAAAGATGATACTAAGAAGGAAGCTGGTGAGAAGAAGCCGGCCGATGCCGGCGGTGCAAAGAAGCCCGATGCTGGCCCTCTCATCGTCGTTCTTAAAGTTGACTTGCATTGCGATGGATGCGCCAAAAAGATCACGAAATCTATCCGCCAATTCGAAGGTAGTACGAATGACTTCAATGGATTTCGACAATTTTAAATACAGTTTTGATGCAAAATTTGAATAAAATCGGGTTGAATTATAGAGACATAGTGTGTGTTTCCATGGCTTGTTTATTCCGTCAAGCGATGAACATGACGGAGCTGCCAAGGAAGAATTATTATTATTTTTATTCACAAAAAATTCACCTTCAACTCACCAAAAGGATGAATGTATGTTTACGCATCTGGCGTATGTTAGCCTTTCTAACTACTGTTGGTGTGACTAACGCCGGTAAATGAAAACTGCGTGTTGTAGGGGTGGAGAGTGTGAAGGCCGACACCGCCGGCAACAAATTGACGGTCACAGGAAAGGTGGATCCGATGCGGATCAAGGAACGAGTCGAGTACAAGACCAAGAAGACGGTCCAAATCCTCTCTCCTCAGCCGGCAAAGAAGGAGGAGGAAAAGGATGACAAAAAGCCGCCGGCGGCAAAACCCGACGGCAACAACGCCGATGACAAAAAACCCAAAGAGGTAACTACAATTAATGAATGAAAATGTTGTGTTAATTGCATTAAATTAATGTGTTTAAAACCTGTATTAATTTGGGCGGTGGTTAATATAGCCTCAATCTAGTACGGTGGCCCTGAAGATTCCGCTGCACTGTGATGGATGCATACACAAAATTAAACGCCTCATATCAAAGATCGATGGTAAGTACCGTTCATCTACCAAATCCTCATAATATTATAAAAAATTCTTGAAATACTCGTGATGATCCACACCATAAGGTCAAATACCATCTGGTGGGTATAATTAATGATATCAAATCAATAAGAACCCAATTTTTTAAAAGGGTTATTTGAATTTGGGATTTGTTTAATTGGTGGTTAATTTTAATATATTTTATATTGTTTTTGTAACAGGTGTAGAATCGGTGATGCCAGATTCCGGCAAGGATTTGGTGACGGTGAAAGGGACAATGAATGTGAAAGAGCTAATACCGCACTTAAAAGAAAAACTAAAGAGAAAGGTAGATGTTGTCCCTCCTAAAAAGGAAGACAAAGGTGGTGATGCCAAAGATGACAAGAAAGTTGAGGGTGGAGGTGATAAGAAAGAGAAGGCGGCAGGAGGAGGTGGTGGCGGTGACGCAAAGGCGGCAGGAGGTGGCGGAGACGATGGCAAGGCCGCCGGAGGTGGAGGTGGCGGTGAAGACAAAAACAAAGGCATAGAGGTGATTAACAAATTTGAACACTATGGACATAATCCTTACACGCATACAATGTCAATGCCAACGCAGATGCCAATTTATAATCAGAATTATTATAATCAAGATTACGGCATGGGAGCCTCTTCTAGCCACGGCTATGTACAACAAGGTTATAATTACGGGTATCCGATGGAATACCCACGTGGACCTCCGATGCCGCCACCGATGTATCTTCAAGACACTCGAGTGCCTGATAGTGGGATGTTTAGTGACGAGAATCCTAATGCTTGTTCACTCATGTAAATAAATTTTAATATAAATCCTAAAATGTATAAAGAAATAGACCGGATGTTGAAAAAAAATGAGATATTATATTGTAGGTTATAGAACCAGTTAGACGCTCGGCGGTTTAACGATAGGTTTGTTTATCATTTGACTTTGTAACCATAAATGATGGTTAGATATTCAATTTTGTGATAAAATGTAATATTTTAATGTTAAAATAAATAAATAAATTAGAAGCGGTCATATTACTAAATTATCTGATGCCACATGACACATATTTTTTGTTTCATGATATGAATTTGGTCTGAATTATTTTTAGTTAAGGGTTTGTTCTTGTAACCAACATTTATTTTAAGTCTTTTATTTTAATCAATATTAATTCCAAAGAGGCCTAACATTTAAAAAAATTATTATAGCATTTTATTTTCAATTTTTTTTATTATAGTAATGTATTTTAAAAATATTTTTTATTAGGACATCGTATTTTTAAAAATTTACCTGTTATAACATTGGGTAACTTTTTAAATTAAATTTACTCAGTATACTAGGTTTATTTATCACATCATCGTCCACGTAGGTTGTTCACACGTACGATAGTGCTGACATGAGATTGCGATAAATCATTTTACAAGAAAGAAAGGCGTCTCTGCGTAAACCAAAATTATTAAGAAAAACCTCTAAGCTTTCCAAGAGGGTTCCACTTGATTAAATATCATTGTTAGACAAATGTAGATAGGATGAGTTTTTTTTTTTTTTTTGAAAAAAAAAATGTTTTACTTGTTTAGTTTTTGACATTACAAAGTAAACTATAAAATTTACGTTGAACTCAATGAATGAATGACTTTTTATGAATATTTTATTCGTCAAATAATGATCTTTTATAAACATGTTTAAAATATGATATTATAATTTTTAGTAAACATATTTGATTAAATTTACAATGTTTAACTGATAAAAATATTAAAATTAAAAGTACAATTCTGTAATAGAAATTGATGATGTTATAATAAAGTAATTTTTAAAGTACAATGTTATAATAAAAAATGTCATGTCAACACTATCGTACATGTGGACAGCCTACGTGGACGATTAGGTGGCAAATAAACCTAGTATAATAGGAAAATTTAATTTAAAAAGTTACCCAATGCTATAACGAGTAAATTTCTGAAAGTACGGTACCCTAATAAAAAATATTTTGTAAATACATTGTTGTAGCTATAATAAATAAATTTGTAAAAATAGATTGTTATTTAACACATTTAACCCTACATTACATGCTCACATCGATTAATACATTTATCTTATTTCATATGAAAAATAAATTAAAGTTTTCATGTGATTCATATGTGATTGTAAGTTACGCGATTTATTCTAAATAAGATTGAAAACCGTTTCAAATTTTTACTCCAAATTTTCATCCCTATTTTTATTTCATTCACAAAAAAGGTGTTTATGAAAGTCTTTGAATATTTAAAGTAAGTTGATACAAATTTAAGAAGCCATTTAATGTTATATATCGAGTTGGTATGCTAAAATGATATCTCTAACCACAAAGGTGGTGTTTGATTGGTTTGAGCTTGGTTCCAAAGGTCAAAAATACCAGGAGGTCTCATGTTTAAATCCAAGGAGGAATAAAAATCCCCTTGTGGCCACGGAGGTTCAAATGCGGTGACTCCGAGCTATCTGCAAAGCATGTAGTCGTCCTGGGATTAATCGGCAGACATAACAGGTTGGATATCCAGGTTAATAAAAAAAATATTTACAAAAGTTATAATTTTTTTATATGTGTGTCGTCGTCATTGCAAGTATGCTCATAATGTTAATCAAGATTCAGGGGTTGAAATTTACAATTATTTGATTTTTTATTTAAAAGATGTTATGATATTTAACTGATAATTAAATAATTTTTTATAATTACTGTAGGATCAAATGTCCGTAAACATCGAGCAAATATGCATGGTTTAATGAAATACATAATCTAGTAAAATTAATTAACCATTATTTAAATGCATAAAACATGTATTAAATAAATAAATAAAATGTTACATTCAATTTAAATAAGATGGGTCACTTTCTAATTTTAGTTTTTAATGTTAATGTTGTTTTCTTGTTTTACAAGAAAATGAGCTAATTATTGATTAATTGATCAAATAAGCAGGTTTATTATTAATTAAGTAATATTAATACTAATAAAAATAATTAATGGCTGCTTATTGCTTCAAAGAGTTTTATGATGGAGGTCACACCTTAAGAGCCCAAATATACTGTTGTGCCCTTTCATTCCTACAAAAGATATATCCACTTAGATTATTATATTTTTATTTGATAAAAAATCATTTTACATAAATTATAAAATGTTAATCGTAAACATGTATTTTATGCAGGGACGGAGACAGAGTGTAAAAGAGGGGGAAGTCAAAAAAGTTAAGGAAAATTACCTAGGTTAAATTATAGAACTTACTTTCACTCCTTTCCGGTAGAATTTTTCACGGGCCCGCAATCTATAAAATTCTTGAATCCGTCATTGATTTAATATATGTTTCATATTTTAAAGTTTAATCGAAACCAATTATATAAAAAACAATTATTTAGGATTTTTTTTATAATCAATTACCATGATTTATTGTATAAAGTTTTTTATAATTTTATTTATATGCAAATTAAGAAATAATACAATGTCAAACTATTCCCTATGTTAGATTATGTTTAACAAGTTAACTGATGAACATATCATTTTTGACAAAAACTAGCTGTAATGATCAAAAAGAAAATTTTAAAAAATTAGTCAATTTTATAATATAATTAAAATAAATATTTAATAATATGATATATTAATACAAACAAGATAGTAAAGAAA